GATGATCACTGTTACAGAGGTGTTTGTTTAGAGATATGATCAGTATTACAGAGGTGTTTGTTTAGAGAGATGAACAGTATTTCAGAGGTGTTTGTATCTTGTGTACTATTTCACCAGGTGAAACCAGATTTGATGTATAATGACATCTTGGGATGACAGAGTGCCGAGTGCAAGAATTAGGTCACTGTGACTTGACCTTTGACCTTAACTTTTGAAAAAGTTTGTCCAGGGCATATATTTTGTACTATTTCACCTGGACCAACCAGATTTGGAGTACAAGGATATCTTGGGATGGCTGAATTCAAGAAGTAGGTCACTATGACCTCACTGTGACCTATGCTTTGACATTAGATATGTACCTTTAACAAAACAATTTTACCATTACAAAGATGCCTTTAATGTTGAAATATGTATTGGGATACTTTCTTGCCAGTAGGTACATCCTGACATATAAGTGTACTGTTTGTTACAAATAGAAATAATTACCGGTTGGGGACTATAACATGCTGGGATAAAGGCCTACCGAGTTTGTTCAAATAAATAACCTTCACCCATATTCAAGGTCACAGGGGTCAATTGTCTTTAAAAATCTTAAAAACAACTTCTTCTGATTAATCAAAATGTCAAAGGTGATGATATTTAGTCAGTAGCAGACTAGGATGAAGGGCTACCAAGTTTGTTTAAATGAATGACCTTGACTTATGTTTAAGGTCACGACAGGAGTCAAATATGTTTGAAATTTTTAAATGACTTCTGAATAACAAAAAGTCGCAGGATGATGATATTTGGCTGATAACTAGAGGGATGAAGGGCTACCAAGTCTATACAAATGAATGACCTTGAATTATATTCAAAGTTACAACCATAAGGCCTACAATGTTGATATCTGGTCAGTATCATGCTGGGATCAAGGGCTACCAAGTTTGTTAAAGCGAATGACCTTGACTTATTTTCAAGGTCACAGGTGTCAAATTTGTTTAAATCTTTAAACGACTTCTTCTGAATAACCATGAGTCCTAGAATGTTCATATTTGGCCAGTAGCATGCTTGGATGTAGGGCTATCACGCGTTTTGATGTGAATGACCTTGACCCACTTTCAAGGTCACATTTGGTCAAACATGTATAAATATTTAAATGACTTAATTTTAAGAAACAAAAAGATAGGGTGGTGATATTTTGCAAGTTGCATCCTGAGATGAAGGGCTATAAAATCTGTTCAACATAAGACCTTGTTTGACTTTCAAGGTCAAAGGGGTGAAATGTTTTTAAATTTTTTAACAGGTTCTTTTGAATGACTTTTAATCATAAATTCTGATATTAAACCTGAAGCTTTGTTTTAGATCACTTTTAAGGTAACAAGTGTGAGATTTATTCCAGGTGAGCGATGCAGGCCCATTGGGCCTCTTGTTTTTCCCTTTTCGAAAAGGCAATCCCAGGATTATCATGAAAAGCCAAATTGATCTATTTGGTATATATATACTGTACTCAATAATTATAATGGAAGACTAAAGGAGGGAGGAATGTAGCGTAACTGGACTGGGTCGATCGTCTGCGACAAGATAGCTCAATTGGTAGAGCATCTGTCTAGAGTTCAGAGGGTCCCGGATCGGAACCCCGGTCTGGTCGTGCATTTTCCCTCTCCTGTTACATTGGTATACCTAAAACAATCGGTTAACGTCCTCTTTAACATTATATAATATAGCGTAATGCATATAGTCATTATGATACGAACTAAGGTATGCTTCATACCACATTGCATAGGGATACATGTACGTGTCTATTCCATTGATTTATATAATGTACCAGCGGCTTTCAATACAAAAATTGAACCTCTGTGATTTGGTGTAATATCATCTAAAATATTAATGCTTGCTCTAAAACTATTATCAGGTGGTTACACTATTTTATTCAATAGATTAAAATGTGTACAGTATAATTTTATTAAGTGTTCACCTCAAGGTAGCACCTCTTTCATATTAGTGCACACTGATAAAATTAGACCGACGTCTTGCTGAAGACCCATCATCTTGTTGTGTAGGTCCAGACACATAGGCATTGCTTTTCCGACGGAGACGGTGACGGTGACGGCGACGGCGTCGTCAACAATGTTAAGGTTTTGCGTCTAGCTCTGTTTCTGACAAAGCTACACCAACAAAACCTCGATCATAGATGTAGCATGGGTAGTGGAGCCTACTGCACTAAAAACATTTCATTGATTTCTGCATTTTTTTGGTAAAAAACTCAAAGTTCTGGACTTAGAAAAAAACTCAACGTTAAGCTTTTGCGTTTAGCTCTTGCATATTAGGCTCTTTTTGACAAAGTATAAGAGCTACACCAACCAAACCTCAATCATACATGTATCATGGGTAGAAGAGCCTACTACTCTAAAAACATTTCATGGATTTCTGCACTTTTTCGGATAAAAACCTGAAATTTCTGGACTTTAAAAAAAATCAATGTTAAGATTTTTCGTTTAGGTCCGTTTCCTTATGTACTATTATATGTCAAATGCTTATTATATTGACAAAGAGGGACAGGCGACACATTTGAATAATATACAACAAAGAGGTATGGCGGAAAACTGTCCGTATTTCCCTAAGTCGGCATTTTTGAAAACGGAAAAAAATATTGACGAGTAAATAATTTTTAGTAGCAAAAATGCATGGAATAGATATAAAACCAATTGAATATGAATTTTTGAACTGTTGACATAATCGGTATTGTTAATATAATACTGCAAATATAGCCATATTAACTATATCTATGAAAGTGACGGGGTTTCCCAGACTTAAAAATATACTTTTAATACTTTCCCATCCGAGGACCAACTTTTGAATAAACTTTTTGATTCCATGATGTAATATGTGAAAACAAATCGTATGACGGAAAAGTGGTCCTCCTTTGGGAAAGTGCTCAAAATAATGAAAAACAGGGTTGTTTAAGTTTTTAAAACTGCAACAGATGTTTCTTGGGTTAAAGGAGTTTGTATTTCCAAATTCGTCTATGGCCGGTGTAGCCTAATGTGTAACGCAGTAAGCGTGTGACCAGAAATATGAACGGTGTAGGTTCGAATCCACATTCAGATACACATTTTTCTTCTTTCATTTTTAATATTTAGGCAAGTGATCATTTTCCTTAGTAAAGTGAAAAATAGTTTTAAATCAATGGAACATTTTATTTATATTTTAATAACATACCTATTGATTTATCTTCTATGGAATCATGTCAACAAATCCCTGTACGCATGTACATGTACAGTACAGCTACGCTTTGATTTATGAGTTGTTTTACCCTTTAATTGGCTCTATTATTTTTAATTATTATCTAAACACAAACAAATGATGCCGAAATATAAAATATACGGGATTGTTGCGTCAGAATAAAAAAAAAAGGCAAAGCAAAAAAAAGGAAGTGTTATTATCACAAAAATATTACCGAACATGCAGGGAAATTCATCGTCGAGGACAGTCTCATTTGTTTTAAATGCAGGAAGACTGCAGCACAAAGTTAGGAGCGCAATACACGTGTGAGACATGCTATTCGAAAACTATATGTAATTTTACCATTCCAAGGTACAGGAAGAACAAAATCAAGATGCATGCTTTTAAAGAAAACATATAACGGCATGACGTAGGCAATAGTAATGAGAATTAAATCCTTTCAAACTTGGTAATGATTGTACGATCTTGTGTTTTATACAGCATAACGCAAAATAAGCATTTTGGTAGGTCTTTATCTTGAAATGCATATATTAATAGCCATGACCTTACATTCCTCTGTTTACAATAATCTATTCTTAGACACGAGATTCCGATAGAGCTACCTGTATAGAAATACCAGAGTACGCGTCATAACTGTGCACGGTTGGACGCGCGCGCTAGCGGGTCATATATTTGGGGAAATAGGCATAGCAACCCGCCATAGCTCTTTGTCATAATTCATTCAACCAGTTAGATTTGTGTCAATAATTATTTTAATTATTCAATGAATTACATGAAATTAGGTTGAGAATTGTTTTTGTGATTGATGAGAGGTGATTCCTGTCTAGGATGTAATCTATTGTTTAATCAAGTAAAGGACTGACAGTTTGAGCAGAAATCATTATATTGAATATGTATCGGACTTAAAACACAGAAATTGAAACACAGGAATTAAATTTACATATTTAAGGTGATAAAGTGACAGCTATAATAATGATGTATTGATTTAGTTTGATAAATAAGATTTAAACAATTTGTAATAAGCTTTAATGGATATCAGTGTGAATGCCATAGACATAGTGTACTATGAAGTTATATTTTCTATTGAGGAAAGATTAAATTTCAAAACAAATTTTGTTATAGTAGCCCATCTATTCAGTTCCAAATTGTTATTAACATGTTTACTGCATTTGAGAAATTTCTTTCAGAATAACTGTTTATTGTGGAAAGTTGTAAAGAGTACATAAGCCAAGTCATTGAAACTAAACATGGTATAACTCCTAAATGGATGAGAGCAGTATGTAAATTAGACCTACCTAACTACCTCATTTCTTTGAATTAAATATATATTTCTATCTGGAAAGATTGATAATTATTGAGCCTTTTAGCAATATTTTAGATACATCCATCTTCAGTTAGGCATTGTCTGTCCTGTTTGGATGTCTGGATGTCTGTCTGGATGTCTGGATGTCTGTCTGGATGTCTGGATGTCTGTCTGGATGTCTGGATGTCTGTTCCTCTGTAGATCAATCATTTCTGCTCCCCCATGTATTTGTATTTCTAATTTCATCTCCACAAGGCTAAAACACTTGATAAGAGTTAGACATCTATATTCTTTTCACGTTATTTCATCAAAGATTTACTGATCAACTGAAGGCTTCTCATCCATATTTTTTATCCTTTTGTTGTATTGGAACGGATGAATTTTAAGTTAATTTCAATTGTATAATGTTCCAGGTTTTGCCAATCTTCTTATATCCAATGACTAATGATGTTGTTTTAAATTATATATTTTCCAGATCCTATTGGTCCACATGATTCCACCATGGAAATAAATAACCATTTTTCTCCAGTCAGTCGGAAGACAGGTAAGTTTGGAAACACCTCTTGACCCTTAGCAAAATTAAACTGACCGGTATTAGGATCCGGTTTTATTTTAATCAAGCTGCATAGAAAATGAAACAGGCAATTTGAAAAAAAAAAAAAAAGCGTCATGGGGAAAATGGTCTTCCAAATTATAAAATTTAGCTACATGTTGATATAGCTGTTCAAGAAAAACAAAATAACGATGGCAAAACTATAATGGCTGTGGTAGATATATACTGAACAACTGTCACCAAATCTCTTACGGATGTCTGTACCATGGCTTGACGATAGCTTTGATAAATCATTTCTAAAAAGAAAAACATACCTTGTGGGACTTTAAGAGAAATAAGAAAGATGAATTAACCAAAATTTTATCAACAGGGTTGTGAGTGAAACAAAATGTGCAGGCCTAGACCAGGATTCAAATACTGGTCCTCAGATTATTATACTCTCACTATAACCCACTGATTTAGCTGGTCCTCAGATTTATTATACTGTCACTATAACCCACTGAGCTAGCTGGTCCTCAGATTATTATACTGTCACTGTAACCCACTGAGGTAGCTGCAGCTGGTCAGTGCCTGAATGGAAGTGAACTGGCCCAACTGGCCTAATGTTATATCCAAGTTAAAATTAGGGGAGTTTCTGCATATTTGAAAAAACTCAGTGCAGTGAGACAAGGGATTGTTAAGACAATTTGAACGTGAACTGAACCATTACAGTATTGAACACCACAAAATCATGTATGATGTACATGCATTTTTAATGACTTATTGTGTGTTTAACTGAAATTGTCGTCTACAAATTTGACACAATATATATTTAACCCTATAGATATCATCAAAATTCAGAAGCTGAAAATACTAGTAAACCATGGAATAATGATTTCATTTGATTTTAGCTCGCCTGGGCTAAGTAACCTATTGCAATCTGCTTTGCCAGTCGTCTGTAAACTTTTCGAATATTCATGAAGAACCGTTTGCGAAATATGTTCCTACTTTAAAAATGCTTTTTGACGTTAGTAACAACTTCTATACGTCAAAATTCTATACGTCAAAATAGCCATTCGTTTTGACAATCGATGTAACTTGAGTTCAAAATAAAGGCCTCTATTTTCGAAGCTTGACTGCTTGCTGCGGATGAATGTAATGTTTATGTTTTCGCTGGGTCCATGTGCTCGCTTTTAGGTCAAGTCGTAGCTTTGTATTTCTTGGACCTTAAGGATCACGCTGTCAGTAGCAAAAGAAGCCATTGGCTATTCTCGTTTTTTAGTTGGTGGTAGGTTAAAATAAAGAAGACAATTTGCAAATTAGTCCCAGAAAAACAGTCTGTCCACTTATTTGAGTACTGTGGCCGACACCAACTGTGAACTGTGATCAGGGCCGACGCAGTTCAGTGTGACACAGTTCAGTGTGTGACATAGTTCAGCGTGACACAGTTCAGCGTGTACTCTACAACTGCAAGCCATTGAAGTTGTCTAAGTTGTCAAGGCAATTCTTGTCAGCTATAGACGACTGTATACACTTTAATTGGTGTAAAATCGATGGACTTTGGGGTCAAATTAATATTGGATGGTTCATTGACGTTGAAAAAACCCATCCTGATATGCGAACTCCACGTGGGGTTACAACTTACAGTGAATATTGTTTTAAACGCAATATTTTTTTCGGCATCGCGTTTAAAACAATATTTTGAAGTGCTATGGCCTAGTAGCCTATATTTATGTTAATGCTATCACTTGATGCTCATGATTTGACGTCTTCAAATGAAAAGTCCAGAAATATTGTTTATGTTTTTGAAACAGTAAATCATTCAGAACGTCTTCAATGGTTGTTGCTGTTACCTGCATATCCCCAATGGCACATGTTGAGTTACCCAACCGTATGCGATGTGCTTCCATTTTCTTTCAAAGAGTTTATAGTTGAGACCAAAATAAATTTGTACTTTTTCAGTGAAACGTGTTAAATGACATTTTATAGATGAATTTGAAATTACAGTGTATTTGATCATTTTGAAATTACAGTGTATTTGATCATAAGGAAAATAATTAAAAAACTGTCTGAAAATGCATTAAATATTGAATGTTTGGACTTGAAAGTGCCAACCAGCCAGGGTCAACAGGGCAAGGAAAGTACATGTATGTCTACTTTTAAAATCTATTCCTTTGGCTGCTAATTCATAATTTGATGATGTTTTAACTGAAAACAGAATATATGACATGTGATTGTTTGCTTTTATTTGAGTAGTAGTGACTTTATTTGTTCTTGAAAATTCCTTTCTTTGGCTGTGGTTATCTATTACTGTTTTCAAAAATAAACATGCTATATAGCATACTGAAACTAACTATAAATGTTAAGAGTATCAATTTGATATTGTTTATTATGTTATAACCATGATGCTAGATAAAACCATACCATGGTCAAATCGAAGTATAGAATATATAGTGTGTAGTAAATCAGGACATCGAAGTATAGAATAAATAGTGTGTAGTAAATCAGGACATTGAAGTATAGAATATATAGTGTGTCGTAAATCAGTACATTGAAGTATAGAATATATAGTGTGTAGTAAATCGATCAGGACATTGAAGTATAGAATATATAGTGTGTCGTAAATTAGGACATCAAAGTATAGAATATATAGTGTGTCGTAAATCAGGACATCGAAGTATAGAATATATAGTGTGTAGTAAATCAGGACATCAAAGTTGACGCTTGTACTATTGTTAATAGATGCTACATATATTGCTTTAGTTATACAGTCATTAAGTAAAATGCTAAACAAAAACTAATGTCGCTTTTTTAGAGCAAGACGTGTACGTTTTGTTTTATTTCATTCCACAATAATTCTAAATTGCTGCCAGCTGGTTGACATCTTGGTTAAAGCCATTTCACGAATATAATCACTATTTCCAAAGAGGTACTGTCATTTAATTTATACACAGCAATATGAAATTTAGATCAAAATTTTCCTCAAGGTTCATTAATTTTTAACAATATATATATACCATGCTTTACTTTTGTGTGGTACATAAATGAAGTGTTTTCACTTATTCACTGTGTGAATGGGTGCTGTAATGCTAAATGTAAGGGTCTCTTTCACACCATATTACTACGATAAATTTTGGAATGCAACGCTGGTATGGTCAATAGGCCAGTGCCAGTTTATAGTGTATTAAAGCCACTGTCGGCTGTTAAATCGGACAGAAACAAACAGTAAAATTGTCATACAAAAGTGTTACATCGATATATGGTACACAAATGAATTTGTGGTACAATTGTGTACCACACAAAAGTGTACCATGGTACAGAACAAAGTATGTCAAACCACCCTCAGCCATCGCACCATGGTACAGAACAAAGTATGTCAAACCACCTTCAGCCATTGCACCATGGTACAGAACAAAGTATATCAAACCACCCTCAGCCATCGCACCATGGTACAGAACAAAGTATATCAAACCCCCCTCAGCCATCGCACCATGGTACAGAACAAAGTATGTCAATCCACCTTCAGCCATTGCACCATGGTACAGAACAAAGTATATCAAACCACCTTCAGCCATCACACCATGGTACAGAACAAAGTAGGTCAAACCACCCTCAGCCATCGCACCATGGTACAGAACAAATATATCAAACCTCCCTCAGCCATCGCACCATGGTACAGAACAAAGTATATCAAACCACCCTCAGCCATCGCACAATGGTACAGAACAAAGTATATCAAACCACCCTCAGCCATCGCACAATGGGACAGAACAAAGTATATCAAACCACCCTCAGCCATCGCACAATGGGACAGAACAAAGTATATCAAACCACCCTCAGCCATCGCACAATGGTACAGAACAAAGTATATCAAACCACCCTCAGCCATCGCACAATGGGACAGAACAAAGTATATCAAACCACCCTCAGCCATCGCACCATGGAACAGAACAAAGTATATCAAACCACCTTCAGCCATCACACCATGGTACAGAACAAAGTATATCAAACCACCTTCAGCCATTGCACCATGGTACAGAACAAAGTATATCAAATCACCCTCAGCCATCGCACCATGGTACAGAACAAAGAATATCAAACCACCCTCAGCCATCACACCATGGTTCAGAACAAAGTATATCAAACCACCCTCAGCCATCACTCCATGGTACAGAACAAAGTATATCAAACCACCCTCAGCCATCGCATCATGGTACAGAACAAAGTATAGCAAACCACCCTCAGCCATCGCACCATGGTACAGAACAAAGTATATCAAACCACCCTCAGCCATCACACCATGGTACAGAACAAAATATATCAAACCACCCTCAGCCATCGCGCCATGGTACAGAACAAAGTATATCAAACCACCCCCAGCCATCGCACCATGGTACAGAACAAATATATCAAACCACCCTCAGCCATCGCGCCATGGTACAGAACAAAGTATATCAAACCACCTTCAGCCATCACAGTATTCAGTGAACCGTTTGATACCTTGTTAGCACTAATTAGGAATGGTCCAGGTGTAATGTTGAAGTGTTGTAAACTTTCGTCTGTACAGCAAACATTTAACTCGAATTACACCTGTAAAATGCAGGTGTGTTTGTTGATATTTGACACTGATACAAATGATTGGTTTACACTTACTGTTGACCGTCCACAGTTGTTATTTATCAGTGGATATATGTATATAAAAGCTGTAACACTGAACCACACCTGCTAACGATCTGTTGTACAGGTAGCACACCTGTAGTGTACCAGAGATATAGGTAGAGCAGCCTTCCTCTCACTTCGCAGTAGGGGGTATGGCACAGCCAGCAATCATTGTCTTCCTGTTTCAATTTGAAGAGAAGATTGCAGCATTAAATGGCAGTTCTTTGTTTGGTATTGGGTAGTAGGACGGGCTGCGTATAACAATCATGTTGATACAATAGTTTGGTATTGTTCAGCTATTTGATCCTTTAGGTTGTAACTCTTCACTGACAATGTCGGCCTATTGAGAGTGT